GTTTGTGTCTGTATCAGTCGAAAAAAATCAAGAAAAAAACATGCTTCAGTAACACTTCAAGGTTCGACATTTAGAATTTACACGTATTATTAATTGTGCCAGGGATAACAGATGAGACGTTTTGATCTTCTATGTATATCATAACCTATACTTTGCTTACATCCGTCTCTCCAAAGAATCTCACTCCTTCCTCTTCAGTCTCTATCCCTTCTCCCCCTCTCCAGCTGCTGCCTCAGTGGGATGGGTGTAGTTTAGTGCCGCGTTCTTCCCGGATTGTCTTTCAGTCTCTCGCGGCTCAAAAACCGCTGAGGCCACTAATGGCTTAAGCCTCAAAAAATCTGAAATGCTTGAGTCCTGGATCACCCTACCCCTGGGATAGCTGGAAATCTGAAATCAAGGACAACTGGAAAATATACTTTATAGAAAGCTGCAAAGATTTACTGGCTATTTTTTCTGTGGGGTTTTTTTTTAAAAAGTATTTATCATGTAGCAGATTGGGCTGGTGATGTTCTCCGGTAACATAAAATACTTGTAAATGTGGATCTGCTTCTTCAGGATTTCATCACAAAAGAAATACGAGCACTGGATTTATTAAGGAAGCATTACATTTTTATTTGTAAACCTGGAATTCACAAAAATTCCTCTTTTTCTCTCTTTATGTTGGGATTGTTGGATGAATCAAGTCTTAAGGACTCAAAACTTTCTATCTTAAATAAAAATTGTGCAGGTGTGTATGAATGTGGTTAAACACAGGATTAAGTAAGGAAGTGTGAGCTGCTTGTGCCTCTGTTTGTGTGCATAAATGTGTATGGATGTTTATAGCCATGTTAGAGGAAAAGAAGGACCAAGGTTCTCCAAAACAGAACAAACCATCAAAGATCAACAGCGGCAACACCTGTCACTCGACATTGGGTAAAACCAAGCATATCTCAAACAGCAGCAACACCTTCAAACCTGCACACGGGTGAGAGAGGAAAATCTTTGTTTCTTTTTTTTTTCTGTCTGCAAGAGACAAATGCAATGCATGTGTGCATTTTGTATTTATAATGCCTTTACCTTTCATATGTGTGGAGAAAATGTGAATATACAACAAAAAAAGTTTTAAAAAGTCATACAATCACAACCTGGATAAATGTTAAAAAAAACCATTTTGCTAAAAAAAGAAATGTTATTTCTTTTGTTAGAAATAACATTTCTAACCAAATATAATGTAAAATCAAGATAAAAAAAAAAAAACTACCTTTGTCTTTTTAAAACATTTTTTATTGTGTGACGCTTTTCAGGGGATACAATGATGAATGTTGAGAAACAGTCAACCTTAAAATCCTGCTAAATGTTAGTGAAGACTTTTATCTACAGTGTAAGGCGACTATATTCTTGTATGCCACGTGTGCATATGGAACAATTAGCAAGTGGGAAATAGTCCTTTGGTATTAACCCTAGCCCAAACAGCTCTTACAGCTAAAGGAAGACAACAACTGCACGTGACAGGGCTATGCATGTATATGTGGGTGTCCCATCTGTCTAGATCCAAGTATTTAAAAGTTTTATTCATGTGTGTACATGCATGGTACCACCAAACATATGTTCTTTAGTTGATGACAACAATGAATTCCCTCAATTTCGATTCCCATTTCAATCAAATCCAGGTAGGAGGAGATGAATGTAAACATCTAATACCCAGCTGATATCACTGCAAAGTAAAGAGGGCAAAGAGAATAAAGCTCTGTAGTTATTCAATGAAGTGGCCTAACAAAATGTTGAGGCTGTATATGCTAGTCCTACTTTCTGCTACAGGCATGTCTGAGAGATGTTTATGTGAGTCTTAAGATTAACTGCAGTGGAAGATTCCAGATTTGTTTGCTATATTAGAACAAGACGTTGACTTTGCTCCAAAATCTGGCTCAGAATAGCCAACTTGGTGAAGATGTTCCTTTGCTTGGTGTGAAGAAACTATGGGCAACTCAAGATGTTTGGATAGAAGTTGTTAATTGTAGCCATCTATGGTATCTTCATTGTTACCATAGCAGCTGTTTGACAGTTTGACTTGTAACTGGATCCATTAATGGCCAGATCACAATGTCTTTACCTTTCATTTGTATCACCATCTCTTTTCTCAGCGTTTCATTCATTATTCACCCATTCACTGCAGTTTGCAGCCTTTTATTTCCATAATGAAACCCACTCATTTGGTCATTCGTCTGTTAATTCATGTATTCACTCATTCACCCATAATCTATAAATTTTACATTTATGCAAAATCTATAAAACATTCAAGCTTGAAGTACTGTACTTTTTTATCTAGACTTTTAAAGAATAGAGTCATCCATCCATCCATCCATC